GCCGACCGGTCCAGTCGCCTGGAACCCCGAAAACTACTATCGTTCTCTGGAAAGTTAATTAGCTAAACCTACACCAGTTCCCGAATCCAACAAAGCATGTTTGAAGTTTAGAGCTGTAGATAGCTCTGCAAACAGTGTATACTTATGTGCAAATATTCGTCTGACAGTTTTGCAACGTTGGAAAGCATCAGAATGATTCACAATCACTGCGGAGTTGCTACTCGGGAAGATAAGACTGGTATTTAGGAGAAACGGACCGTGGGCATTTGAGACAGGGGAACTGCCGCGGGACAAACGTGCTACAAACGCATACCCTTCCAAGGTCGTCGCTGGGGCGACCGCGTGCGCCCAAGAAACCTTTCTTTTCTTCTCTTTAGGGGAGGGGGGGGGGGGAGTGGTGAAGCGCTGATAATCTTCCTCCTTTGTGGCTTTTCACAGACGCACAACGAGACTGGCAGAAAAAGCGCATGATTCATTTCTTTCGATGGAGGCGTTCTGTCTGTGTATGTGAACATGATTTTTTTCCCCTTTTAGTAGTTAGTGTTTCTTGCCTTGACTCGGGTCCCAGTGGGTGAGTGGTCGTTGTATGCCCATTATTTATTTATTTTTTTAGTTTATGGTAGTTTTTGCGGTGATGGGGGGTATCAAGGTAGACGAAAAAAAAGAAATTGTGCCTCGACAAAAAAAAAAGAAAAGAAACAAAAAAAGTTGTTGCGATCAGGAGCGTTTTCAAAGCCCGGAGCCCCTCGCCTTCGTTCGCGTGACATGTCGCTCGCTTTCGCGTAGCACATCTCAATTCTGAAGGCCACGGTGTTTTTCAAGGAAGGAGGCGATTTTAGGTGCGCGCAGTGTTACCAAAGGTGCAGGAATGAAAGCGTAACCCAAGCACTTGAAGAGAAGGGGAAGACGGAGCTCTCTTTTTATCGGGACTCTCTTTTATGGGTCTCCACGTCGCGATTGTCCTACAATATCAACTTTCATTTATTTCTCGCTCGTGGCTTCCAAGTACTGCGCGCAACTTTTGAGATTGGGCATAGTTATAGCTGATTAACACGGTGCATATTCTAACACACAATAGTTTTGCGAAATCAAGGTTTCGCTGAAATGGATAACTCGCTCGTACAGTTCGACAAGCAATACCTTTCAGGTATTGACTCGCGAGAGATGCTCCCAACACGGCTGAGTCTGGTGGTGTTCCAGACCTAACATCTACATTTTATTGCCTTACCTGTTACTATTTCGCGCGAAATTTGCGCCATATCGAAATGAAAGCGCATGATGAAAGTGGCGCTTGTTTTCCGAAATTTCACGCCAGCCCGTTGTCTTCGCTGGTACCTTGAGCGTTTCCCAGCGATGCAGACCGTTCAACAAGAAAAAAGCGTACGATGGCATCATTCGATCGTACACTCATTACTTCTATAATACCGAGCCGTCTCGTATCCTTCTGTTTTTCTTTCATGGTACTAATTTATTTCTGCGCATTACGGCTGTTACGACGCTAAGTCGGGCTGCACCCTCGAATTTGAACTCAGCTTAGATCAGGGACAGACCAGTGCAAATCAGGAAAATATAATTAACACTGTAGCAAAGTAAATCCATCATATCGATCGGAAATACGATTTGACACATTCATCTGAACACATATTGTGCACAGCGAATGCAGTAGAGAGTCAGCGTGCAAAACGCCGCCACACTAGGCTACCATAATATCTAAGCGATTTTTGCATAGCACCGAGCACGGAAAAGAGAAAACAGATATTCATTCACATAAACGAAGCAAATTTTTTTAAAGCCCGGACACTCCGTACGTCCAACCTAGCTAAGGTTATCAATAGACTCGACCATGTCATTTGTCGAAACAGATAAAAGACGTTGGCAAAAATGATTATACTGAATAAGTGAATCTAACGCACGTATTTTTCCAACCGACGGTCGCGCGCCTTCAATACCATTTCCAATTGTCACTGCACACCTTGGACACATTTTGGGAAGCAATACATAATTACATCGCCGCCCGAGGTCTTCATTGAACGTGTAGTGCTGACCAAAATACAATGCTAACCTGACTCTAAATCGCTCGCCGCAAAGGACGATTTCGAAGAGGCGGTACTCTAAATCACTTGAGATAAAAAAACAAAACAAAAACAAGGTATAGAGACGAGCGTCGTAAAAAAGGGGACCGACATTTTTATTCCTACCTCCGAACAGAAACGAGCGCCATCCACTGCATCACACAGAGTAGAGGCCGGACTCGGCCACCGCGCGTATTATGACTGACGTCCGATGCTATGCACTCTGAGCTGACTGACCGCAGACATACCAAGCGCGCGCGAGGGAGGGAGAAACTTCCTCCGCCAAGAGAACACGGCACATTTTGGGGATCTATTTCACGTAGCAGATAACGCGGGCCTTTTCACACTTCGATACTGGCGCCACCTAGAAGTTGCTCGTTCAACCACGTTACGATCCGCGCGCCATCTGGTGGCTGAAACGGACGAATAAATAGAGGTACCGCGCCCTCTTAACCTCGTGATACGATTGGACAGCTGGACTAAATGATGTTGTAGCCTCCGCTGTGGTGTATCGGAAGGGGAAACGGAGTATAGTCGCTACAAGCGTAAACAGAGCTTACCGTGTACAACTTTCGCGAGAACCTCGTCGTGGGTGGTCGGCAGAGCGCATCGGTTACACATTTGAGCGGGTTCAAGTCCCAACTTTAAGTCCCCGAGCGTTATAACCAAACTAATAGCTGGTTTGTTCAAACTTCTCACCCATTTGGTTAAACTGCTCACCGGCTTGAACAAACTGACGAGCAGTTTCAAACCGGTTCCGGCCTCGCTGTGCTGGCCAACATTTTCGCCTACCGCTACGCTCGAACAGAAAAGTAGTTTTATGAAACCCGTGAGCCATTTGACCAAACCAATGACCAGTTTGCCTGAAGCGGACAACAGTTTGACTAACCCTCTGAGTATCTGGATTACACCGACGAGGAGCTCGGATATGCTCCTAAGCGTAGGTTTGAACTGGATACCGTTATGGTTGAACGGGTACCGGTATGAACCAGTTGAAATTTCAAACGGTTTTCTTGAGAAGGGGTCAAGCTATTTTAGATGGCATATATATTGGACCAAGAAAGAAGTTTCCTCGGTAGCCAGACGCCCTTTTCAAAAGGGTGCCGTGTCGAACGAGCACCCATATCAAACGTCTACCTGCGGCACCAGCATTAAACCGGTAGCACAATTTCATAATACCATATGGTTTGAATGAGTCGACCAGTTTGCCACTTGTTAGAATTCCAAACTTTTCTTTAGCACGGTTACTATGGCAACATGACCGAAACACTGCGCACAAACAGTTGTTCAGAGCCAACCGTATTAAAAAAACCAGCTTAAGCTGGTCCCAGCTTCAAGCTGGGTTATTGCCCCAGCATGCCCAGCTTGGTATGCTGGTCATGATGGTTGATCTGGTCATACTGGTCATGATGGTTGATCTGGTTATACTGGTCATGCTGGTTATCTGGTCCCAGCTTCAAGCTGGGTTATTGCCCAGCATGCCCAGTTTGGCATGCTGGTCATGCTGGTTGATCTGGTCCCAGCTTCAAGCTGCGTTATTGCCCCAGCATGCCAAGTTTGGCATGCTGGTCATGCTGGTTAAACTGGTCATGCTGGTGAACTTACTTACCAACCAGTTTAACCTGTTTAAATTAATACACAGGATAAACAAGCCAAGCTCTGCAGAAAAGCCGACTCGGCATCCAATTTATTAGTTTCGAACTTGCGGCCCCCTCACAAAAACTCAGATGCCACACATCCTTGGCGCTGACAGAGTACTAACCGACGCAACTACCTTTCAGCACGAAAAATACTAGACACACACCAAAACAGGCAATAGCAAACGAAAATGCTACACGGATGAGAGAAGCGAACCTGGGTCCCGCCAGTGATGGGGGCGAAGCGGCAACTTGCCTGGTCGGCAGAGGCAAGGAAATTCGTGCGGCTTCGATGGCATTGGCGATACTCCTCGGCACCACCGTAATTCTTGAGCACACACACGTTCGAAGACACGAAGCGACGCCTCAGTCGGGACGTCCGACATCTTCCCGCACTGAACGGACTGCCGCTCGCTGTCTCCTCGAAACCCGCCTCGCTTGCACCGTCGTTCAAGTAGTCTTCACACAACGCGCACACAGCCGCCGATTCGAAAATTTGTCCAAGATAGCCAAACGGGTCGCAAATTCTTCATTCCTGCCGCTCTCTCTCTCTCTCTCTTTTCTCACACACAAAGGTAGCTTGCAGCGCGCCTGACGCGCCCAGTCGTCTACCAAAAACGAGAGGACAAAGAACAGGACGTGGCCTCTTTGACGCGCGCGCTCCCAGCTATGCCACTTAGTCTATCTCTAGCCGATCTTGGCGTGCGCGCTCCCAGCATGACCAGCTTGACCACCTCGATTTTTAGTTCGACCAGATTCACCAGCTTGTCTCCCCGCATGACCAGCTTGTCTCCCAGCTTGACCACATTGGCTCCATGGAAAACCAGTTTGACCAGTTAAGACCAGACTGGCTCCCAGCTACACCAGATTGAATCTAAAACCAGATTCTAGGGAGACCATGCTGGTTTTTACTTAAACCAGACTGACCAGCTTAAATTCTAGCTTGCCCAGCTTAAACCAGCTTGATTGCAAGTTAAACCAGTTTGACTACCAGATTGACCAGATTGACTAGCTTAGCTACCAGCTTGGCCAGTTTGATTTTCATGCTGGTTTTTCCAATAGGGAAACCATTTTATACTCACTCTACATAAAGATACAGGCACTTAGAGAGCGAGCAGATAGCTCGCGCGCAAATCTGTAGAGTATGTATTGTGACCGGATTTGTTGATCATATGTTGACGTTATATTTTTTTTTAAATCAATTATAGATCGTACTTACCTGTACACTTCCTATGAATGCTTATAGACACACATATAGCAGACAGCGTTTAATACGTAATATTATATTTACCTTCGACGAAAACGTGCAGTGTGAGAACCGCAGCGAAAATTGCTAAAAACATTAGTTTTATCATACTTTCCAGGTCTTCCACCTAAAACAATAAAAAAACAAGAAAACAAAACATGGCAGTTTCAACCTAAGGGAGTGCTATACGTATACTTGCAATGTCTCTTTGACAGATTCAAATAGATTGCCAAATAACTGTGATGTTTCAATCATTCTTATTAAAATAAAATTTAGTATTCAATTGAACGACGAATTAAGATTAATTAAATATTTTAAACCACTGTATAGGAACAAACTTTAATTGGAATTAAAAATATTTTGTTTTCCCATAAAAATAGTGATATAAATAGCAACCAGTGGAGGGCACAGTTCTATGTGGAATTTGTCCCCGTACCCTCTGATAGATTTTAGCTTTTTTTCTTTTACACCAACCCGCGACAGCATCTCTGCCATTTATTTGTCCTCTAACGCTTCCTCCTCACCTTTCTACGTCCTGCTCGCACTGGTGGTAACGATAGGGCAGAAAAAATAGAAAAAGAAAGCGCCCAGGTGAAAGTTTAGGTAGAATTCATTATACATTGTAGCCAGTCGTTCCTTAACTGACTAACCAAATAGGGCAAACCTTTGAATATTACAGCGTTATTTGATTCATTATTGCGAAATCATGAATTGTCCAATGGAGCGAAACCGGCGTTGGCTTGGACCGCAAAAGACAGGAATCTAAATAAACTACAGTTAAAATGGCTGCAGCACGTTCCCATTGGCTGCGACGCGTCATATCAGGTACTTTGTCAGGGAAGTCGGCGGGGCGCTCAAGGTCGAAGTGGACGCACCTAAAAAAACACAAAGAAAAGCACAGCAACGCAGGTGCACCGTCACGGAAGGCCTGTAGCCGGCGGAGTTCACCGCGTCTGCGCAGTGGGGGAAGGTGATGTCACCGCCGGAGCGTCGTGTGCCATAGGAAGACGTGGTGCGGTGCTTCTAGGATTCCGCTGCGTGTAGGAATGCTTTCACATTCCTTCACGCAAGCAGTCTTAAGCGTCTTCCTGTTATGTGTGGGCTGTCATCGCGCGACGCAGCAGAGGCTGGTTGCACTATCTCTCTACGGGGCGCGGTGCCGCCGGGGCTGAGATGCGCTCCGATAGTAAACCGAAACTTAAAAATCCGTCGAATTTGTGCGGTTTTTCACAACGCCGTAATGTGGTGCGCGTGCCTTCCATCATTCTCCAATTTCTTGATTTAGTTTTTTTCGATAATGCTGAGCAATTTTCTAATTGAATCTATGCCCTTGAAACCAATATAAAGAAAGTCAAGTAAACAAAAAATAGTTAACAGCTTAGTTATCACGGACTTTAATAATTTTCCTAAATGGGCCCCTGGCCCAGGACCAAAACGCCACAATCATTTTCTCGTTGTGATGAGTATTTTTGGCAGAAGCGATTTGGCCTGCGTTTCGTGAAAGACCCTATATATGTATATTGTAAAATTCCTTCAGAAACTTCGCCAGTCGCATACACGTTCGATTTATTAAACCAATAGTGCATAATTCTTGTTCCACATATATGGCCATGGAGCTGAGTGTTCAGCATCGCGTGTCTGTATAGCCAATATTGGCTTTTAGATGTTCGCAGGCACATAGTGCGTGCGTTTCTTAGCGTACAAAATTTGCTTTCCGTGGAGCAGGGAGTTCAATGGACAAATTTGTTCAGTACAAAGTTTGGAAAACGCGACTAAAAAACTAAAAAGGCTGGAGAAGAAAGGTCGAGCTATAAAAATTTTGAATTATGAATCAGGTTTTTTACGAAAACCAGAACGACTTAAATGGCTTTTTTTATAGGTTTTATTTTTTTTTCAATGCAACTTGGCTGATTTTAAATACTTCGAACTGTTTCGTCCAGCCTTTTTTACGCATTCTTCTAACATTAGTTTTGGTGTTTAGTTCACGTAAACTTAAATGGGTTCCGTACGTATGAAACAGGATAATACCATAATTAGAACGAGCATACGGCCGACAGAGACACATGCTTCTTTTCGCCAACAAAGTGTATGCTCTTCTGCGTTCAAACGTGTAACCTTTCCCACAGTTACAACAGTAATGTACTATTTATAAGCCACCTCACTGAACTCCTGTTACAATACCACTCTACTGTGGAAGACAGTGGTAACAGAAAGCAATTAGATTGCAGAAAAAAACTTACGTGGTTCTGTTTTACCTCAAGAACGATGAAGTGGTGGTCAGCACTCTGAAAAGCAATTCTTACATCTTTTATATCATAGCGAGAAGTAACGTAACAATAGAGATTGCTAAGGCTATATTGTATAAAATACTTGAGAACAAGAACAATGAACAATTGAGAAAAAGAAAACAATTTTTTTTAATATTGTTTAACACTAACACTGTTGACAGAAAACCACAAAACAATACCGACCAAAAACCACCTGTTCACTGAAAATTCGGCTTACGAATCTTTGCTTTCTGACGCCCTTTTCTTTTTGGAAAAATCGCTTTTGGATATCAGCCTCTATTGTTTGCATTTAGTTTAGCTAGCGGATGTGCGTGCGCACTGCTTTATTGTTTATTATAAATTGTAACAGGTAATTGAATATATTTTTTATTGAAATGTGCTAATTAAGTTACGTCAAAGTAATTATTAGTGTAAATTTTGCAAATGGCAAATAAAAAATATTGTTGAAGTAGTGGCCATTATCCTAGTTACAAGCAATGTGTCAGTGTATTGTGTGCCTGCATTTAAAATGCACCAAGCTTGAAGGGAGTGCTTAATATTTAAAAACCAATTATGATATTGTCACGGGTGGTGACTAATAAACAAGAAATAAACAGGAATAAATAAACGTTTAATGTGGCGAACTTGTGCCAAAAATAAAGAAGGAGACAGAAGAAAGCAGAGCGTCGCGGGCGTCGAAGTCGGCGTGTCAGCAGAATCGAGCGCTAGGGCGAGACTGACTCGACAAGGTCGCGGGCGGCCTCTTATCTAAAGTGCGCCGCTATCTCGAAGATTCGGCGAAAGCGGTTCGAGCGTCGCGTGATCGGGGCGAGAATGAACACGTACTTTCTAGAAAATAAAAGCAGGGATAAATGATAGAAGTTACGTGCGGTACATGAATAAACGGGAACTTTCTGGAGGACCGTGACCGAGCGTTTCTTTCTCAGCCTTGCGCGCGGCATTACTCCCCCCTTTAAAAGTGCATCGCCCCGATGCAGTGTAAAACAAATCAATATAAAAAAGAACGATAAACTAAAGAGTCTTTTGGAGCACAAAAGGTCCACAGTCCTATCGAGCGTAGTACGGCTTCAGGCGCACGACGTGGACGACCTCAGGTCGTGGTGGGCGGCGTGACGATGTTCGTGTTCCGTCGGGCATCACCTCGTAGTTAGCTCGCCGAGGCGACGAAGTACCTTGTATGGTCCAAAGTACCGTTTCAACAGTTTCTCACTGAGGCCGCGGCGACGGATGGGCGTCCAAACCCACACCCTGTCTCCGGGCTGGAAGTGAACGTCCCTGCGACGAAGGTTGTAGCGGCCCGCGTCGGCGCGTTGCTGGTCTTGAATCCTGAGTCGGGCGAGCTGGCGGACTTCTTCGGCCCGTTGAGCAACCACCTGGGCGTCGTCGCTCTCACTGTCAGCTGGCTCATGGGGCAGCATCGCGTCCAGCATGGTCGTTACTTTGCGCCCATGCACCAGTTGAAAGGGTGTCACTCCGGTGGTCTCTTGTACGGCCGTGTTGTAGGCAAATGTGACGTACGGCAACACCTCGTCCCATGTCTTGTGCTCCACGTCGACGTACATGGAGATCATGTCGGCGATGGTTTTGTTGAGTCTCTCCGTCAGCCCGTTGGTCTGCGGGTGGTACGCCGTGGTGCGACGATGGCTGGTGTGGCTGAGACGAAGGACTTCTTGCGTCAGCTGGGCCATGAATGATGATCCACGGTCTGAGATCAGGACTTCGGGAGCGCCGTGCCGGAGGACAATGGACTCGATGAAAAACTTGGCGACTTCAACAGCCGTTCCTGATGGAAGGGCTTTTGTCTCGGCGTACCGCGTGAGATAATCGGTTGCGACGATTACCCATCGGTTTCCTTGCGTCGACGGTGGGAAAGGTCCGAGTAAATCCATACCGATATGCTGGAATGGGGCAGATGGCGGCGCAATAGGCTGAAGAAGTCCTGCCGGTCTCGTCGGTGGCTTCTTCCTTCGTTGACACTCGTGGCAAGATCGGGTGTAGTGGTGTACTGTCTTCGCAAGCTTGGGCCAGTAGTACTTTTCGCGTATCCTCGCAAGAGTCCTGCTGTAACCAAGGTGTCCCGCCGTCGGGTCATCGTGGCAGGCTTGAAAAATTTCTTCTCGAAGACTGGAAGGGATCACCAACAGCCACGCCGTGTTGCTGTCGCTGAAGTTCTCCTTGTACAGTACGCTTTGTCGGGTGGAGAAGGTTGGCAATGTTCGAACAAAACCGCGGGGAACGGCGCTTCCTTGCCCCTCTAGGTGTTCGATGAGTGCTCGCAGCTCAGGGTCGTCTCGTTGGAGTGCTGTCATGTCGCTTACATCCAGAGATGCCGAGGAAACACTCATCGTCGTCCTCTTTGGTGCAGGCAGGACCGGCCTCGACTGGGGCCCTTGACAGGCAGTCGGCGTCATTGTGCTTCCGGCCGGACTTGTACACCACGGCCATGTCGAACTCCTGCAGTCGTAGGCTCCACCGAGCGAGGCGTCCGGAGGGGTCCTTCAGATTCGCCAGCCAGCAGAGCGAGTGGTGGTCTGTGACTACGCGAAAAGAACTTCCATACAAATATGGGCGAAACTTTGTTATTGCCCATACGACAGCGAGGCACTCCTTTTCGGTCGTTGAATAGTTCCTCTCCGCTTTAGACAGCGTCCGACTTGCGTATGCGATAACTCGCTCGGCTCCGTCCTGCACTTGGACTAGTACCGCACCCAGTCCGGTGTTACTGGCGTCGGTGTGGATCTCGGTTTCAGCAAACTGGTCGAAATGGCCAAGAATCGGGGGCGTCTGGAGTCTTCGTTTGAGCTCGTCGAATGACCTCTGG